GAGAGAAATGTGTTTTCATTTGTACAAGGAATGCATTAAGGCACATAAGAACAAGTTTTTTTTATATAACTATTGGGAAAAAGTATGCATATATGTTAAGGAGTCCAAGTAGCAGACTACAGTACGTTGTTTTTGCTGAATTGTTCCTATTTGGGGGAAAAGTCTCAAGATCAGGGGAAACAAGATTCTGCCTCTCACTGCAGAAGCCAACATGGAGCAGATAATCCCTCTCTTGATGTCTTAGGACACAATGTGGGTACATATTGTAGACACAGCCAATCAGTTGGTCCCATGCAAATTTTCGACGCTTGGGGAAAGAAATATAGATCAGTGAGGGATCCTATTACAATATGAGCTCCATCAAAGTAGGACTGTGTTCATTTTTGTTAACTACACCCAGAACAGCACCAGTCATATAGTAGGTACTTAATATATTTTAATGAAAAAAAAAAAAAAAAGTCAGTAAGAGACTATTTTTAGTGCTCATAGGGGAATCCAATGACACAATGGTGAAGTCCAGCACTGCAGTATCTAGAGATGACAGTGCCAGCAGTGATAAAGGAAGCAGAATATGAACTGAATCCATGACTATCCTTGCTTCCCTTGGTTCCTGCTTAAGCCTGGTTCTTCATTCTGCCTAACAATTCTTTTAGTTTCCCAATATCCTTCCAATAATTTCCTCTCCTGATTAAAGTTAATCAAAGTTGGTTTCTATGATGTGTATTCAGGAACACCAACTAGTACAGATGTACTTTAGGACATAAGGGACAGAAAACAATTCACTCTACAGATTATATATATATATATATATANTGGAAGAGTCAAGAATTCAAAGACATATAATTGTCTGTAATTGGCCAAGGCAATGAAGTCCAACAGCTTGCTGATGACTGTCTAATGACCAGTGTTAGAAGCATAACATTTGCACAGTGATATACAGAAATCTTGACTGTGCCTTGCTTCCCATCAATCCTGCCCAAGCCTAATTCTCTAATCTTCTTGTCAATTCTGTGACCTACATGGTATTTATTATTCTTTTACTAAATTCCTATCCTACTTAACTTAGCCAGAGTTGATTTCTGTTGTTTGCACTAAGATATTGCTACAGGGAGTGGATTACAGGCAATACTCTCTCAGGTAATTGAGGGAAATCTGGGATTGGTTTCTGGCCTAGAGGAGGTCAGTGAATATCCATCCGATCAGTGTTCATGGAAGAAATTCTGTAAGCCCTTGTCATGAAGTAGTGAAAGAACTAATTATCACCTGTGGTCATGTGACATGCTCTAGGTGACTGAGAGAGTGCTGCCACGAATAGAACAATGTGAAGGGCATGAAGAATTCAAGACTTAGGTAGAGCATCTGCTATTCTACGTGTATAAGATAGCTTAAATAAAGACAATTTTAAGGTCAAATCCCCATAACTTAGGTTCAAGGCACAACAGACTTACAGTGAAAGTCAGAATATTTACCTCTTTCATTACTATGTTAGACTGAACCAAATGAAACTATAGATATTACTATAATATTAGACACAATTTTTTACCTAAAAAATTTCCATATGGTTTAACTTAATATGTCTAGGTTGTATTAAAAGATATAGTAATATCTATTTCCCCCTACCTGGCTGTTCTTAACTAATTTTTAAAAGTTATCTTAAAAATCTTTACTTAATTTGTCTAATTTTTTAAATGTTCATGTTTTAAAACACTACTAATAATACCACAAAGTCTTTGTATACAGCACTGGTTGAGCCAAACAGTCTATAAATAATAGAGAACTTTGTGGGAAAAATAGATATGCTCAATAAGAATAAATTAGACTCACAGACATTAGTAACTGGAGAACCAACTAACTCGACTCACATTTAGCCCTAATTTCCATCCTGTTTATCTGAAACTCCTCTTGTCAAATTACTCATCTTATCCTTGAAGTCATTAAGGAAGAAAAGTATATAACTTTTTCGGTAACTAGTTCTAGCTACCAACACCTAGAAACCTGTTTTCAAGGGCATTTTTTTTTCTTTCTTGTATAATTGCCTATATCGTAACTGCTCCATTTCCTTTTTTATTTACAGAGCATTAAAGGTAGTTCTTCACCAAACGATATTTATTAATTCTTCATACACTAAAAGATAATTACTAATTTAGCCCTCTGCATTACTCTTCACACTTAACCATCCCAATTCCTTTAATATTACCTCACGAGCCTATTTTCCAGTCCTTTTCTCTATTTTGTGAACCTACTGTACGTTTGCCAAATTTTCCAAACTGAAGAACTTAGCACATCCTAAAAGCAGATGCAATATGAATAGAGACTAACTATGAGTGTAGGTGAAAATGTGCCCCCAGAAAAGAGGATCAGAAAAGGAATCGAACACATAGAGTATGCAATGGGAACTACTGGAATTAGTTAAAATACTTACCCAATCATTCTTAATGCACTTAACAAGTGCAAGGCTAAAAGAAATACACAGTGGAAAGTGAGATAAAGTAGGTTTGTTTTTGTGTTTTTTCCTTTTTTTAAAAAACCTATGACCAAAGTCCTCTAAGAAGGAACGAATAACAAATTATTAAATTTTGTAAAACAATAGTTCTTAAGTTGCCTCAACACTCTCTGAAGTATGTTGCTAAGCTTATGAGGGATTTTTTTTACCTGAATGGCACTTCTTCCTGTGGAACATCCACATAGTAACGAATAAAAAATCTCTCAGAATCTTCTCGTTCACCATCGGTAACAACACTGCCATTAAGTTTGGAAACTGATGGTAATCTATAAGTTAAAACCAAAATACAGACATTTTAAGATACTAAAAATATTTAGCTTCAGAGATAATGTAATTGGTTTGAGACCCAGTCTTAGTCTCTTGAAAGAACACATTTTACGTAGTTCTGCTTGTGTACAACTACTGTCTCAATTAAAGTAGTACAAAAGGGCTCAAAATCATCTAGTTTAATTTTTGGATGTGAAAATATCATACCTCACCTTTCAAAATAATACTTACTCTAGGCAGCACTGTCCAACCTAAATAGATATAATGCAGGCCACATATGTAATTTTAAATTCTCTAGTAGAGAATTTAAATTCTCTAGAACGTTTTTACAATTAAAAATAAAACAGGTAAAATTAATTTTAATAATATATTTTATTTAACCCAATATATCTGGTATACAATAATTTCAACATGTAATCATTATTAAAAAATAATTAATAAGATATTTCACATTATTTTATTCTTATGAAGTATTTCAAATCCAGTGTCTACACTTACAACACATTTCAAGTGCTCATAGCTACACATGGCTAGTGGCTATCATATTAAACAGCACAGGTCTAGAGAGTGGTCAGTACAATTTGGTTATATAATTCAGGAATTAATTATTATATTTACAAAAGAATTATGTAGAGAAAATAAAGTACGAGGCCTACTGCGAGCCTTATTCTTCTTTAAAAAAAAAAAGCATGTTGACATTTATTTCTTCAGTGAGATGTTAATGCATATGTTAACAACTGCAAAGCAGTAAGGATCTGCTAGGTGTTAGTTGGTCAGAAAGATCAATACTCCATTTAAAGAACCTCTCTTCTTTAGGGAGCCTTAAAGCCTACTGTTCACCTTTCGAAACTACTATGTATAGTATACAAAGAGAATGAAGCAAAGCTCCATGGCCTTTTTCATTTTAGCCAAAATCTTATTTCTGCTAAAGGTTCATATAAAAATAAACACTCCTGGGAAATTCTAGCAGTCTGTGGAGGCAGAGTCTGAGACACGAAAGATAGGCGGAGTCAGAATAAGAAGATAAAAGTAATGATAGTCATACTTAAGTCAATCTATATTCAAGAAGAAACACAGATGTTGCTCTCTCAAGTTTTACACTAATAAAATAGCTCAATTTTCAGGTATTTATGCTTTAAATGGCCACTATGCTAACAGAGAAAATAAGGACAACTACAATAGGAAATTATTCCCTTTTTATATGTACTTTTACTTTGTGATCAATCCAAAACAGAACTTCAATTATTCTAAGTATAGAAAGGCATAAAAATAGAATACATTTGTGAGGGAATTTTTCAGTGGTCACAGAAGGCCAGTTACACTTCATATTTTCCTCATCACTTGCATTCCTTTTCATCCAGAAATTGGAGCTACAGAAGCAACTCCTTCAAGCACAGTCTGCTCAAAAGATGGATAAACTCATATGCACTACCCCAAATAGAATTATCCCTTTAATGGAACAATAAGGCCTTGCAAAAAGAAAGCGGAAGAATCAGGACAACAGACCTGGCTACCACCAATTTCCTTCGCTCCTCAGTAGTATATGGCTGCAGAAGAGGAATTCCTAATAATCTCACTTCTTCAAGTTTGGGGAATGAATTGAGTTTGTCAATGTCTTCCCAGGACTGCAAACCTAGTTTGAGAAATACATTGTTTAAATAAATCCAGAAAAGCACACAAGAAGATAAACATAGCAAAAAAAAAATTACTTTGGTTAAATTATTTCTGAAATGTTAAAATGATCATAAACTAGAAAAACTGAAAGTTTTCTTTGTCCAAGTAAAGAATGAAATACAGTTAAACACCATAAAAACTTCCCCATAGCCTCTGCTATCTCTGTCATCCCAGCGGTCAAGGAGAGAGAGCCTTATTCTCCAACATCCTCTTATCTATCAATTGTTAACCAAAATGGCTAACGAAGAGGCTCACTGATGGTTTCAATAATTGGGATGTATGCCATGATTACATAATTTTAAAGTGATATGACTAACTCATTTCACTCAAATATAGAATCATAGAATATAACTATTGATCAGAGTGGATACTGACATACTCACATTGTTACCTGACAAATTCTAAAATGAGCAAGGTCCATAGAACTAGAAATGAAATATCACTTTCATACAGTCCTCATTTTGGTGACTGGGGAAACAGATCCAAATTTTAAAACAAACAAACAAAAACAAAAACCCTGAACCTTTGGGTAAAGAGAATATGCAACAAATTAAGATTTTTAGTCCTAACATGAAACTCTCCCCATGGCTGTGAGCAAATGTATCATCCAAGTCAACACCTGACTTCGAAGTCCGGTAGGGCTTTCAAGTAGGAAAAATATTCCTGTAATAGAGCTGGTCGATTTCACAACACATTTAATCCATTTCAGAGAACAACACAGTACCTTTCTTTTTCTATCAACTTTCATCAAGGGCAAAGGCAGAGGAGCAATTTATGAGGACTGATATATAACTATCCCAAGTCACAACCATCCTCTTCCCTAAGAGTGGCATTTCTAGCTAGGAGGAAGGTCAGAGTTAGCTTAAGGGATGTTGAGTTGTTAAATAAATAGGTTCCTTGTGTAAAATACTGTTTTTAAAAACTTATTTCCCATGCTTATAACCTCTACAGTGAATTAAACTACATTTATGCTTTTTCAGTTGTAGGTTAGAGTTATTTTTAATTAATAGGTATTTTAAGAAATAGGCTGAAAGACAATAGCAAGAGAATAAGAAGAAAAGCAGCAGACTGGAAGACTGTATTTACAAAAGACACATCTGATAAAGGACTGTTATCCAAAATATACAAAGAACTCTTAAAACTCAGCAATATAAGAAAAGGAATAACCTGACTAAAAAATGGGCAAAAGACCTGAACAGATACATCACCAAAGAGATATACAGATGGCAAGTAAGCATATGAATAGTTGTTCAACATCATATGTCATTAAGGAATTGCATATTAAAACAACAATGAGATACCACAATACACCTATCAGAATGGTCAAAATCCAAAACACTAACACCACCAAATGCTGGTGAGGATATAGAACAAAAGGAACTTGCTAGTGGAAATGCAAAATGCTACAGCCACTTGGGAAGACAGTTTGGTGATATCTTACAAAGCTAAACATCTTACCATATAATCCAGCAATCACACTCCTTGGTATTTACCCAAATGAATTGAAAACTTATGTCCACACAAAACCTGTACAGAGATGTTTATAGCAGTTTTATTTATAACTGCCAAAACTTGGAAGTAACCAAGATGTCCTTCTGTGAGTAGAGTGGATAAATTAACTGTGGTATAACCAGAAAACAGAATATCATTCAGTGCTAAAAAGAAATGATCTCCATAAAAAAAACATGGAGGACTTAAATGCATACTCGTAAGTGAAAGAAGTCAATCTGAAAAGGCTACATGCTGTATGATTCCAACTAGATCACATTCTGGAAGAGGCAAAACTATGGAGACAGTAAAAAGATCAGTGGTTGCCAGGGGGTGGGGGGAAGGAAAGATAAATAGGCGAAGCACAGAGGATTTTTAGGGCAGTGAAACTATTCTGTGCAATACTACAATGGTGGATACAAGTCATTACACATTTGTCAAAACCCATAAAATGTACAACACCACGAGTGAAATCCTAATGTAAACTATGAACTTTGAGTGATAATGGTGTGTCAATGTAGGTTCACTGATTGAAGTGGTAAAGATACACACCATTCTTTTTTTTTTTTTTTTTTCCTTTTTTGTCTTTTTTTGTGACTGGCAACGGATCGCAACCCTCAGTGTCGCGCCTGTACCGGACCGGGACCGGCAACGGGATTGCAACCCTTGGTGTTGCGCCCACACCTCGCTCAGCCAGTGAGCGGCCAGTCTGTATGTGGGATCCGAACCCTCGGCGGGAGCGCCACCGCGCTCCCAAGCGGCGCACTGTAGCAGTGCGCCACCGGGCCGGCCCAAGATACACACCATTCTGATGTGAGATGTTGACAGTGGGTGAGGCTGGGCTGTGTGGGACTAGGGGCATATGGGAACTCTGTACTTTCTGCTGAATTTTGCTGTGAACCTAAAACTGCTCTAAAAACAAAGTTTACTAATTAAAAACATGAAATAAGCTAAATATAATCATTCCAGTGGTACACAAGATCAGATTGCAATAAACTGGCAATTAATGATATACAGTTACTAGAAAAGTGAGCATTTAAAAAGGCATAACAGGTTGGCATTCCTTAATCTAAGTCCAGATAAAATACTCTAGTTTGCTATTCTTTGCATTCTTTTTACTTTGCCTTTTACTATCCAATTCATCAATTCCATTTCATTTCTTTAACAGCATGACCCTTTAAACATGTAAAATTTAAATTGCTAATATAATGCTATGCTATTTAATATTTATCAGAGCATTTATGAAAATAAATGCCTTAAGTTTAACCAGTAGGCATCTGCATGTCATGCTGAAAATTCATCCTAGAAAAAGGCAAAGCTATGACTGAAAGAAATATACTTTCATTGTATTTCATGCATAAGCTCAGATCAATTTGCATGTAGAATGAGAATAATCCTGAACCTCACCTGACTTGTGGAGGCTGATGGATCGCAGATTAGGAAACAATCTGGCCAATGAATCATCAGGCTCCTCAATAGCATTCAAATGATTGTTGGCCAGGACAAGGGTATCCAGTGAAGGAAACATAACTCCTAACTTTCGTATTTCAGTCCAGTCTTGGAGGTTATTGTCTGTAATATGTAGTAGCTTAAGAGAATGACAGCAAATAGAAGGACAAGACACTGTTTCATAGTCATTAAGGCACAGGAAGAGCTCCTCCAAACTGCAGAGAAAAAAGGAAATATTTCATTGTTTAAAGCAGTTTAGTTTCTACTTTACACTTATTTTCATTTATTCAGTAAATAAGTGCCTAGTACATGTGAGACTATGCTAGATACTATAGAGAAAATACAAAGATATCTTCCTGAGGTTCAAAGTATAGCTGGGAAAACAAAACCTAATGTACATAAAACAGCAGGGAAGGATATAAGCTAGCACTAAATTATTTTTTTGTTTATATAATTAAGTGCTAAATTAAGTATCACTGACTGTAAGTACAATAGTAGGTCATATAGAAATGAAATTGAAATTGTAGATAGAATAATCACGAAAGGATGAATGGCACTGAAGGGAGGATGAACTTCCATAAGTTGAGAGGAGACAGAAAATTCCAGAAACAACATGAACAAATGTTTAGAAATAGAAACAACTATCATTTATTTAATTCCTACCCTGTGCAGGCCCTGTGCCAGGTACATTACAGATTTTACTTCTACTTCTGCAAAGCAAATACAATTATGACTATATTACAGACAAGGAAACTGAGCACAAGGGAGTTAAGTAGCTTATCAAAGGTCATATGGTTAGTAAGTGGAACCAGGACTTAAGAACTCATTCTATGCCATGCCATGTTGCATGCAGTGAGGAAACAACCTTATTACAGTGAGTGAGAAATTAAGATGGAGTAAGTAGGGTGAGATGAGATTCTGAAGAGCTGTGATAATTTCCATATTTAGACAGTCAAAGAAACTAGAGCTTCATGTATGTCTTTAAACTACTCCCTTTGCACACACAAAACATAATAAGGCATTTCTAAACTAACAAACAAAAGAATAATTTCTTTCTTAAATTACTGAAAAGAATACCAGGTTAATTTTCCCATCAGGTCAGCTAGGTACTTAATCAACTGAATGTTAACATATTTTAGAGATACTATGATTTTTTCCTCCCAAACAAAAGGGCTGAGGCAAAATTCTTAAATCAAGTAATTAGAAGATTAAAATGGAGAAAGGCTGAGTTGATCTAGAAGTGATAAGTGTTTCTCAGGGGTATTTTCTAGCCAAAGGATGACATATCCTATGTCTTGGTGCTACCCAACACTGAACAAGTATTCCATTGGAAATGCTACTAGATTACCCTCACACCCTCATCCTAACAACTTCACTTTTCAAATGCTTTTCTCCATTCAATCTGCAGTTCTAGCATTTCTGAGAAGGGAGATCAGCAGTAATTCTACGTACTAACACAGACGGCAACATAGTTCCCTCGCCCTCATGCTCTCTAGGCTTACTCTGGTAACTCCTGCAGTATCGTGTGGACTGTCTCCCAAGAAGCTTTGCTGTTGTTGAGGACAAGTTTGCGAACCCCAGAGAAGGACCCAGCACATGTTCTTTCTAAAACCGACAAATTCAGAGGATTGGAACTCAGGTTTAGAAACTCCAACTGGGGAACATTTGACACAATTTTACTGACCTAGGGAGAAAAAAAGAAAAGCATATCAGGCAGTAATCAGAGCTTTTAAATAGCAAGAATGCTTAAGAAGTCCTTAAGTGAACGGGTCTCCAGGCAAGGGGCCATTTACATCAGGGAGTCCTATTTAGTGATGGTACCCACAGAGGGACACAAATGATTTCAACAAATCTTGGCAAACGATTTAATTTCTTTCTATGAAATAATGACATAACTGACAATTAAGGGTACAAAAGAAAGATTTCTTATGTTGCCTTTGGCAAGGTTTCTGATTCTTCTCTATATGATGGTGTCTTTCATAAATGGGGAAAAGATAGTTCAGATGACATTTTAGGCTATAAGTTTGTAAAAAGCTGAGACTGGGTTATGTAATTCCCTTTGAATATCTCCTTCCTCTTCTCAGCACAACATTAAGGTGACTTAAAGGTTTTTTAAAAAAAACACCTAACAATTCATGTATTCAAAATTGACTGCACAATCACAATCACTTAGAACACAGTTGCAATTTGGTTCAAAGATGTACAAAACACTAAAATATATATACTCAAAAACAAAAAGCACCCATAACTATATAATGAAAGAGAAAACATGATCATCAATTTAACAATTTAGCTAGCAACTTGGTATATAAAAAGGATAAAAAAGGAAAAGAGCATTACAAATCATACCTATTTGTTCTGTATAGTGCTTAGTCTCTAATGATATAGCTTATCTCATTAAATTCTCAAAACAACTTGCAAAATAAATAATATTAATTTCATTTTAATAAATGAGGAAACTGAGGCTGGAGATGTTACATAATTTTGGTAAGATCTCACAGTCACAAAAGCCAAATCTGGGATTTAAAAACCTGAGCCGTTGTTCTTTCCAATACCACAACCAGTACATCATAAATATAACCAGAAAAAAATTAATAAAGACAACTGGAAGAATGATTGGCACAATCTGTGAGAAATACTAGCTTAAAATAAGTATGAAATAAATGCTAGGTGCCCTAAAAATATATTACGCATCAAACAGCCAGGCAATGTGGTAACTAAAAGTTAGGAGAAAGGGAGCAGAAAAAAGTAGTTAGGACTTGTTTTAGAGTTGGAAAATCTGGGTTCGAACACTTCCTAGCTGTGTGGTTTCAGACAAGTTACTTCACTTTTCCAAATCTCAGTGTCCTCATTTGTAAAATAAGAAAAATAGTACCCATTTCTTTTACAGGATTGTTGGTCAGATTAAATGAGATAGATACACATGTAATGCACTTAGCACAGCAATCGGCACATCTTTTTGAAACTTGTTTCCTTACCTGCCCACCAATAGCATGTAAACTCTATGAAAGCAGCAGTAGTACTTACCTACTTCATTACAACATAGTGGGCACTTAACATTTATTGAATAAATTAATGGCACAAAATCATCCCATAAGTAAACTATTACTACTAATATAAGTAGAGTATGAACCAATATTTCAACCCTGGCTATCCATCAGAATCATTGGTAGAATTTTAAAAATTCACGGACTCCCAGGTACCACCATAAATTAATGAATCAGAAGCTTTACAGGTGGGACAAGCTTCAGGGTTGGGACCTAGATATCTGTTTCTATTCAGAGCTCCAGAGATAATGCCAAAGGCAAATCCAGAGGGAGAACTGTGGGTAGAAAGGAAAAGTAATCTATACTTTACATCAGATCTACTGGGCACATTCAGTTCGGGAGCTCTAAAATCAGTGAGAAGTAGATTGATTTCAAGAAGGTTCAGAGAAGTATGTCAGAGGAAAAGGTCTTCACATTCCTTATTTCATCTATTCCACACACTAACCCTTTGAAATGGGTACCATTTTTATCTTCATTTTACAAATGAAGAAATGAGCTTCCTTTTAGAGAAAATAGACTAGGCTTCTGCTTAAAGTGGAAGGAATTTACACCAGCCTGCACATTTTTGCTTGCTTGACCCCTTTTGTGATCAAATGGTACCAAACATTTGTGTAATAAATGGCTAGAATTTGGAGTTTAGTCTATGACAACACAGCTAAACAGTTCATGCAGGGTCCAACCCTGTACTGCATTCTATGACCTGAGTATTAATGATACAAAGGACTTTGATATAGAAGATGATGACCAGCTATACTTTTACCTCTTTTAAGGGCAAAAAAAAAAAAAAAAAAAAGGAATTGTGCTCCAACTAAAGCATGAAAAATAACTGCTAGTTATAGTACAACCCCAGTTAAGTAAAAACGGATCACAAACCCTTTGCTAACCACCACCCCCATATTTTATCTTTATAATATAGAGAACACTCAAAAATGGATAATTTAAGGGTTTTGAAGCAATTTCTGGGAGATTTCCCAAGGCTAGCAGATATGTGATATTATCTTCATAATCTTTATCTACACTACTGTAAAGTGAGAATAAAGATTTAGAATAATGACCCATTAGCCCTGGAATATAAAAAGATAAAATTGAACTAGAATCTAATAATTCAAGTAGGAAAAAACAATAAATATTACAAATAAATAATCTCTTTAAAGGGCTGAAATAAAGAAGTTTTGGGGGTAACCTCAAATTAATGGTAAGATTCAGGAAAATATGATTTTCATTACACAGATAAATCTATTAATCTAAAAATGTCCCCAATATCTAAGGCTGACAAATATTCCGTGAATTTCTAGGACAGAATATTTACTACCATTTTCAAATTCTAAAAATAAAAAAATATATAGGGAAACTATAGCCAACAGCAAATTACTGTATAACTTCAAGCAGCTAGTTGAGAGATAAAAAAATATATAGGGAAACTATAGCCAACAGCAAATTACTGTATAACTTCAAGCAGCTAGTTGAGAGAAGGTCGAATGTTCCCAGTACAAAAAGGTGATAAATGTTTGAAGTCATGTATATGTTAAATACCCTGATATGATCATTGCACACTGTATAAATGTACCCAAATATCATACTGTGCTCCATAAAAATAAACAATTATCATGGGTCAATTTAGAAATAATAAATTAAAAAGAAAGAAAAAAAATCTCAGACAGAGAAGTAGATTAGAGGTTACCAGAAAAGGGGGGGAAGGAATAATGAGAAGTTATTGCTTAATGGGTATAAAAGTCTATGTTTAGGACGACGAAAAAGTTTTGGAAATATAAGTAGTAGTTACACAGCATTGTGAATGTCATTAATTCCATGCAATTGTATGTTTAAAAATGCTTAAAATGGCAGTCCTTATGTTATATACATTTACCACTATAAAAAAAAAGTTGTAAAAAAAAAAAGCAGACAACTAATGTAAAAAAATAAGATTAAAATTAAAAAGACCCCTCCAGCTGGAATGAGTCGAGTATGCTCATGTGCAGAAACATGGAGATGAACTCAGATCACCTTTTGCGTCTCCGCAAGTCTATAATTTAATAGGGGACCCTCCACTCCAGCTCCTAAAAAGGAGGAGACTAAAGATTTAAGAAAAACTGGGAAAGGGTTTTAAGGTAACAGTCTATAATTTATACCCCCTTTATTCTCTAACTCACCTGAGTGGCTAATTCCTCCCTCCTCTCAACTACTTGGTTTAATTTCTTTTATAAAATGGTTTTGATAAGGAAGGGGGGAGAAAAAGAGATACCTTGGGGAAAGGTCAACCAAATATCTACTCAGCCAAAAATTCAAGTTAAAAGCTAAAAAATGCATTTTTTTACACATAGGTGCCCAGTTTTAGAAGGGTGAAGACAAATCTTTGCCTCCCCCAAATTTCTCACCCATGTTTACCTTAGCCTCTGGATATACAGCAGCCAATAGTTTAAACTACATAGGATTACTCAGAACTCATAACATCAGTGGCCATTCAAAAAACTAAGAAAACAAACTATACTATTTTGTTCCACATTACTATATCAATGGCTGAAATAAACTGAGTTAATGGTTAAGGACAAATGATCTTTTTGGTAATCAGATATATGGGCTGTAATGGGGTTGAAATGTAATGCCTTAAAACTGATGACCTATGAGGCATGTGCTGCCTGGCAAAGAGTTTAATCGATTCTAAAAATCAATATTCTTTTGCTGTCAGTATTTCTCCCATCTGTCTGTGCTCTGATATATAGTCTGGAAGACTGGAATCAACTACAGTTAAGGATAAGGAGGAATAAAAAGGAAAGATGAAAACAAAAGTAAATTGGAAAATAGAAACCTGAAAGTAGCAGCAACAAAATTTTTCTTGAAAACTGCCCGAAAACAGATTATTGAACACATACAGGAATACACAAACAGGGTGCAGATAGAGAAACAAATAAATATATGACCCTCTGGCTATATGTCAACGTGGCCTGAGAAATATTTAATATAGACCTTTGTCTAAGCACAGAAAAGGTAGAATTACCTAGTGAAAACTCTGTGTACTGACCCATATTACATACATCTTTCTTCTGAGGTAGCAACTACCTCACTATTAAACTGTTCCAATCAGTTAGCAAAAAGCTTATGTACGTGGTCAAAGTGCGGGTCAAAGCACAAAGCACAAAACTTTTGTGAAATTTTATACTCCCAAAGAAACAAATTCAGGGGACTCAACCGGTGAACATAGGAGCTGAACTGATTCACAGGAAGATTTGGTCTGACTCATCACCCATGCAGGCCAGAAATCTCACCACAGGTTCGGTAGCAGGACTACTAGGAGAAATGTAGAGGAGAAAGGATTAACAAGGTAGTTCTTTTTGCATTTGTGCAGTGTGGATAGAGCACACATGGCAATCAAGTGTCTCAAAGGACAAGAAGACACAGACTGTAATTTGTTGAACAGTGAAATATACTAGTTGTTTAGATGAGTAAATAAATAAATACATGTACAAATGGAGGTTACTTTTTAGAATAGCCCTATAAAAGTGCATATATTAATAAATCACTTAGAAATCAGATGACATGAATCTCAAAGAATTTTAGTAAAAATCCTAATAAAATCAAGAGCACAGTCACCAGATTAAGACTTGTAAATAGTTAAATATAAGAAAAGTTGAACAAAACTAGATAATCGATAGATTCTGCTTAAACAAGAAAGCTATCTTAGAATTTGTATAGCATTCAATATCTACAAAGTGTTTCAATGATTAATTTTATCAGCAAGCTCATCTTATAAGTAAGCAAACTGAAGAACTAAATATTAAATGTATTTCTTACGATCACAGGAAAAGTTGGAGCAAGTGGCCTTAGTCAATCCTTAAGATATAATCATTTACTCATTAACACAATCAATAAACATTTGACTACCTAGTATGCAGGGCACTTATGATAAAAAAGATAAAAATCTCCCCTTTGAATAAGCTCATAGTCTGGTAGGAAAACTGTCAACTAACCAAATGATTATACTACACTGTGATAAATCCTTTCATAGCAGTACAGTACAGTGCTCTGGGATAATCTGACTCTGTCTGAGTGAAAGCCAGAGAAACTATCACAGAGGACCAGCAACTTGCACCAAGTATTGAAAGATAAACAGCAAGTGGCCACATAGACAAGAGGAGAAAGATGACAGTGGATTCAGAATGAATAAAAGCAAGGAAGCTTTTCATGTCAAGAGTTTATCATGAGCTACAAGTAAAAGTATATGGCTAAAGACAGAGATAAAGTTCTAGAAATAGCAAAGGGCCATATGATGAAGGTCCATCCTTAAAGAGTTCAGACCTTAGTTTCTAGGCAATGCAAAGCAACTGAAGGACTTTATGCAGAATGGTGTCATACTCGTGCTTCATTTATTAACAGGAGTCTGTGGTAGCACTGTGGAAGACAGCTTATAGAAAGAAGGATAAAGCCAGACTCACAAAAACTCATTAGGAAACTTTCCCAACAGTTGAAGCAAAAAATAAGAGTCTAAATTAAGGCAGGACAAAGAGCCAAGTAGGAAGAACTATTTTTCCCTTATTCTTCAGGGTAGCTTCTGTCAGGTAATGTCATAGTCAGGTAGGTACTGTTATATACTGGTATAGTAATAAGAGAGAATGTTGTAATACTGTTATTTGTGTACTTAGTTTACTCTGTGGTCAAAAGACATCAGTTATGGCAAACCACCAAAGGGACTTGATAATATAAGTTCTAAAATACTTTAAATAAATTTCAATAACAAGAATAAATATTTTTATAATCTGTTTCAAGCTCTAGCAATTTTATGTCAATTTAGAGTCATAAATACTGAAGTAGAAGCAGAGAATGAGCATAGAATATATAAACTAGTGAAATAGTAGAAAATTTAATGCACTGTTAGCAGTCTTAACCTCTGTAGACTCATCAACCTCCTGATGCCTGGAATAAAGTTCCTCAGTGCTTTTCACATTGATGGAAAACAGATTATCAATAACAAAGTTAACTGAAAAATCACCATAGATAGTGTTGATGCAGTTATTTATCTTGAGACATGTAAACAAGAATCTCAAGTGAGAACCAGAATTCAGCAGAATATATAACATAAACAATGATACAATGGTTATTGCTGCCTTTCACCAAAGTCCAGCAATATAAAAACTTTACCTCATGCCAGTCTTTGAGCTTGTTGTCAGAAAGATCCAGCTCCGACACATGAGCACAGAAGGCAGCAATTTCTTTTTCATCTCCTGCGCAGGTTATTCCACAGCTGTTCAAGACTAGTACACTTGGGAGGTTGAGGCGATCTGAATCACAGGGGACACAAAACACTTTCTATGTCAGCCTAATTCTTATTTACATACATTCAGCCTCCAGATATCATCAAGAAACAAAAAACAAACTGTGAAATCACACAAGGATCTGGAAAACACAGGATACAGCAGGATCCAAGGGTACTGAATTCTAAGGGGAGATAGCCAAATATGGCCCAGGAGGAGCTCGGAAGCACAAGTACAGTACCACCAAACAAGGCATTTAGGCTTTAACTCCAATAGCATTGTTTAGATCGATTACCAATAACAGAGCCATCATCCATGCTACCATCTCATCATCTGAAATCAGATCCCTGCCTGGACTACCACCACCTTCTTATTGGCCTTGATTCTTTTTCAAATTTAGTTCAAAGGTATTCTAGATAGCTCTTTTCTTTCTGGCTGATGTGTATTTTACCTTTAGCTACCTTTGAAAATTATTTCAAACCATTAGATAATCTATCTGCTAAACCACTTCTATTCTTCAAGTTCCTATTATGCAAGAAATCTTCCTCATCTAAGTGATCTGTTCAAAACTCTCTTTTTCTCTCATACCTTATCAATTATTCCCCTCTTTTATATCCATGTAGAATTTGTTCCTTATGAAAATTAGCCTTTTTCTAAATACAATTATAATAGAAGAAAGTGTTTCAGAATCTTAAACTATTCAATAAATTTGGTCAAACTGAGATAACAACTCTCTGACTATGGCCTGGTTCAAAAGTACATGTCATAAAATCACTAAAAAAGGTAAACATGAGAATTCAACCACTTTTTCCCACTTGGTATAAAACAAGGACTCATGTAGGTAATATTTTATTACTGAGGGCCTCAAATTATATAGTTTTTCAACACAGTACTTTTCGAAATCAAATTTCTCAGAATGGCGATGGATCCTGAAAAAAATGACCAGATAAGAAGACCATTTCCCTCTGCCATTCCAGGTTACATGGACTGCTAATGTAGCTGTGTTGAGAAATAAAAAACACTCAGTAACTTTTGTACATAGAAACTAAAACACTGATTCAATATAATCCTCCACAATTACAAAGAACTACTTCTAAGAACTATTAATTACAACATTAAGCTAAAAGGCAAGCAAAAACACACCTTGCACATTTCTAGTTACAGATCTTTGCTTACATCTAATCCCTCTCCCAGAATGTCTTTATCTCCTCTCTAACCAAATTCTATATTCTTGAAGGGCTAATTCAAGTCTTACAGCTTTGAACCTTTCCTGATCTTATTAATTAATTCTCTTCTAAATTCTCTACCAAAGGGAATGTTCCTACACTGTTGGTGGGACTGTAAATTAGTACAGCCACTATGGAAAATAGTATGGAGATTTCTCAAACAACTACAGATTCATCTTCCATATGATCCAGCAATCCCACTTCTGGGTATATACCCAAAGGAATGGAAATCATCATGTCGAAGGGATACCTGCACTCCCATGTTCATGGCAGCTCTGTTCACAATAGCCAAGATATGGAACCAACCTAAATGTCCATCGATGGACAAATGGATGAGGAAAATGTGGTATATATACACCATGGAATACTACTCTGCCATAAAAAAGAATGAAATTCTCCCATTTGCAACTACATGGATGAGCTTGGAGAAACTTGTGTTGAATGAAATAAGCAAAGCACAGAGGGGTAAATACCACATGTTCTTACTCATAAGTGGGAGCTAAGAGAGAAAATAGGGGAAAGAAAGACCACAGTGGTGTGTTGGACTTGCAGAGGGAGAGAGCAGACCAAGGGATACAAAGTAGAGTGGGGATAAGGAAGAGGGGGAGGGAGGTCAGGGATAACTGGGTAGGGAACATGGGGTATAATCACAATTTGTAGTAATGGGCATGCTGCCAGTATGGATCTGGCCATCACATCTTGGGCACGAATGGTGACAATCAGCTTTGTATGTCATGAATATTCATAACTAATAAAAAAAAGTACTAAGAGAAAAAAATAAAAATGAAATTGGCTTTGGCTTCTGTAGTTCTAGAAAAAAAAAATTCTCTCCCGATTGCTGTGCCATTCATTTGGCTCAACATAAACTACCTTATATTATATCTTTTTAAATATGAATGTCTTGTAATGCAGTTAGGCTGTAAGATCCTTGGGAGCACAGGCTGGTTTTGTATAGTTTTGTACCCTTCATGTTCCTGGAAAGATTATACATTTGAAATATTATCACTCAAATATTATTCTTGCCCTATGAGTGCAACCAAAATGTCTCTTGGTAAATCTGGAGGCAAATAAATCCTGTCAGGTTCCTTAAAAAGCTGAAGTTGGGCCGGCCCGGTGGCACACTGCTACAGTGCGCTGCTTGGGAGCATGGCGGCGCTCCCGCCGAGGGTTCGGATCCCACATACAGACCGGCCGCTCACTGGCTGAGCGAGGTGCGGGTGCAACACCGAGGGTTGTGATCCCGTTGCCGGTCCTGGTCCAGTACGGGCGCAACACTGAGGGTTGCGGTCCGTTGCCGGTCACAAAAAAAGACAAAAAGGAAAAAAAAAAGCTGAAGTCGTTCATGCATATGACCCCAAAAGCACGGGCAACCAAAGGAAAAATAAACAAATGGGATTATATCAAACTAAAAAGCTTCTGCACAGCAAAAAAAAAAAAAAACAATTAACAGAGTTAAAAGACAACCAACAGAGTGGGAGAAAATATTTGCAAAATATACATCTGACAAAGGATTAATATCCAGAATATACAAGGAACTCAAATAACTTTACAACAAAAAACAAATAACCCAATTGAAAAATGGACAAAAGAGCTAAATAGGCATTTCTCAAAGGAAGATATACGAAAGGCCAACAGACACATGAGA